ACAGGGATGGAGTCCCTGAATCAGAACTGGCATCGTGGGCCAAAGCGCATTTCGCCTCGGCTCAAGTCGGCTGAAAGAGTGAAGCAGAGGTGGCGATTTCTTTTTTTTTGTCCCAAACGCGGCGTTGCCATGTTTGCGATATTACGTGCTTTCCACAGCGAGCTGTGCAATCTTGACGGAGTCTTGAGCTTTCATATGTTGTCATGCATTGCTCTCAAGCTGTGGTTGGAAGTTGTGACATGTTGGAGGAGCCACTGAGATTTTTACTTTGAAGTTCATGGTTGTTGCAGCTGACTTCGAGATATATAGTTGGGATTTGCAACATGAAGCCTACGACAGATTCGTTGAACCGTGTTTTTATGGTTGAACGAGAGTCCCAAGCCCCTAGCGTTTCCAAGACTCTTCGGTGCGAGGGTGCGTGGTTTCAATCGCCGCGTTCTCGATGCTGGCGAATTAGAGATGCACGGGGTGCGGGCGTCCCGGTTTTCCGGCGTCCCGTAGCAGAGCGGTGAAGGGACGGACGTAGTTGTGTGGGAGGACAATCCATTTCGATGTGAATCAGCTATACATGTCTTGAACGAGAAGTTTCTTTGCTACAATCACCCCTTTCTCCGTCCCTACTCGAAATCTCCTGTCTTCTTCGTCTTCTCCTTCGGCATGGCGATCACCATGATCTCTTCTCTCTTCTTCGTTTCTTCCGGAAAACGGCTCGTGGCGTGTCCCAGGCGCCCGCCTCCGCCCAATATCCTCGGCTGCCTTCGGCGGCCTTTCCCAAAGCGCACGCCACACAAGCGGCGAACGCCTTTGGCACCTTCAACGGGTCACCGGGACGGCAGGGGGTCAACGGGTGGGTTTCCGAGAGATGCACCGTGCACATTGAGGATATCGAATCCTTTCTTGCACCTCTAAGACTAAGAGGAGATGGAAAGAAGATAACACTGCAAGAGTCGCATGGCAGTTCGAAATAGGATTGGACCGCCCTCCGTTCGCGTTCCAGCTCGCGCGTTCGCGTACCGCCCAGGTATGAGAACTACGGCGGCGGGGGCGCCCTTTGGGGGCGGGTCGGTGCGGCGGCGGCGGGTTCGACCGTCCAACGGGGAGACGTCCGGCCTTCCTTTTCGGGCGAGCGAAGCTTCCACCCGCGGAAGATGGAGGCGAGTTGGTAGGGTGAGTGTGGTGAGCACTTTTTACAGTAGGGTCTCCATCTGGATTCGTCGAGGCTGGACGGATCGAATCGACCAGAGCGGGGGCGAACGCCGCGGTTGGACCGAGGAGGCCTTCCCGGTGGGACGGTCTTCTCCCGCATGGCCTCGCCCAACCTGTCGCCCTCGCCGGGCATCTCACCGGTGCCGCCCCGTTGTGGAGGGGGGGGGGTTCTGCGCGGACGCGGGCTGGTGCGCGTGTGACAGGCAGGGTCATGTGGTTGGTGGTGGTGACAGGCAGGGGTGCATGCGTTCACTTCGCGTTCCGATTTCCGTCTCGTATGTCATGTTCTTCGATTATTCGGGGGGTTCGTTGGAGCTTCTGGGCTTCATCGCTGGAGATCCTCTCGTTGTGGAGTTTGGAAGGGAGAGAAGAAGAGGACGTGGTAGAAATGCAGACTTTGGCTCCTGCGGCGGAGAACACCATGAGACGAATGCTGCCTCAGCTTCAAATTAGGTCACCACATGATTGAATTTGGACAAAGCTTTCCATTTAGCATGACGTCGAACCAGGAAAGAAGTGATATTGAATGGGATTCTACCAGGACACCCCCTTAACATGTAAGAGTCTAAGAGGCTGTTTATAGACACCTCTTGGAAGGTATTGGTAGGCTGCTCTTGGAGTTGAAAGGTCATGCGTTGAAAAAGTGGACCATGGACCCCTGAACATGGAGAAGACACCAGACCTTCTTACAGCGTTTACTCTTTTTCACATCTATGATCCACGTCATCCGACCAGACTCCCCAGCCAGACTCCTCTCCGGAGGCTCCAGCACCGACTCTTACTCCCCCCCGGCAGCGCAGAGTCGACGCTTCCAGCGACGCTTCCCGCGTGACGCCTCCATGGCGGGACGAGCCGAACGGAGCCGCTGAAGCCGCGTCGCCCCCATGGCAGGCGCGGGAAGCGCGGGTCTGGAAACACCATGGACGCGACGTGTGACGTGAAAAAGCCGAAGGGTGCTGGTGCCGTTCTCTAGCGATGAACAGGGCTTCCTCCAAGCTTCCTGTCCGTTTTCGGCTTGGCGGCTCGTTTGCAGGAGAGGAGGAGGCCAGGCCATGGTGGGAGAGGGAGGTGCCAAGGTGCCAGCTTCATGTGTGACACTTGTTGCTTCAGATATTCAATGTATTTTCTTAAGAACATGTTAATCAACACAGGACATTTTTATTTTTTTGTGAAGGCCTTGTTTTGTTTGTTGAGAGGCTTTACCCCGCAACTAAAAGATGTGCCACGTGCCGTGGATGCTGAGAGCTGGCTGAGAGCTGAGACGATGCAGGATGACTTGCATGAGATCTTGAAGCAAGTGGCACAAGGCCCAGCGGTGCGGTGCGCAGCTCGCTCGGCAGTCCGCGGGTGGCGTCGCTGGTGCTCGGTCGAATCAATTCCCAATGACACGGGTACGGCCCGGTGCTTTTCGACCAAGCCGTTTTTCTGGAGGGGCTCTGTTTTCTTGGCAACATGTCCGGGCCTTTCGCTGGCCTTGTTCCAGGGCATATCTCCTTGCAGACTGCCGTGGGTCTTGGGCCAAGAGGGGAGAAAGAAGTCGCTTCAAAGCTTCAGAGCAAAGAGAAACGAAGATCCCTTTCTCTTTGCCAAGTCTTCTCACTCTTCACATCTTGCCACTGGAAGTTCCCTTTGAGCTGAGGCCATTACTAGTAACCAGAAACCTATACCAGTCACTGGAGGCCATCGCTACTCTACTGGTAACTGAAGGCCCTTGCTACGTTACTAGGATGGAGGCCACCGCCAAGCGTCCCCGCTTGGTCTTTGCTTCTTCACCCTCGCTCCCTCTCTTCGCCCTTGCTCCTCGCGTTTCGCGTCCTGTTCCGCGTGCTCAGGCCTCTTGGAGGCGCCTTTCGGGTCGGACCAGGGCGCGGCCAGGGGTGCTCTGCGGCCGGCGGTGCCAGCGGTGCCAGCGGTGCCAGCGGTGCCAGCGGTGCCGGTGAGAGAGGAGGGGGTTGGGTGGAAGGGGGGGTTGCTGGACATCGCCCTGACATCTGTTTCTCAAGGTTTAAAAGGTTTAACACATGAAATCAAATTCTTTCTTTTTCTCTAATGCCCTAATAGTTTATGTTTGTTAGCTAGGTTTTTTTTCCTGCTTTAAACAGATGTTCTCTTTCCAAGGCTTCACGATGTTTGCTTCAATGGATACTGATCGGTCGAACGTCGCCGTTTCGACCCTCGCCGGGCCTTCGACCGTGTCCGCCGGCCTTCCGGCTTCGGCAGGAGCTGCTCGACAGTCCGTTGACGAATGGCCTGTGTCAAGCAGCTTCGTTCCCCAGTGACCAGGCGAGAGGAGTTGAAGATGTAGATTATCAGATGTATCGACCAGACCAGACGAGTTTGAGGAGTTGGGGAGTGGAAGAGTTGAGCAATTTCATAGACGTGACGCGACGGTGACGCGCAGTTATTACACACACACACACACACACACCGTTGACTCTGAAAAGGGACCCTTCTCTATGGTGCTACGCGCTTCCAGTATGGATGGTCTGGGTGTGGATGAAGATCTCTGGGTGATGAGCCCCACGTCGTATCGACGGGACCCGTTGGACCGGAATCTGGACCTCGGACCGATGGACCGCGTGGCGTCGCGCCGCTGAAGACGGGTCCCTACCGCCGTTGGCAGGTAGCGCTCGCGGTGAGCACGGTGAGCGCTCACGTGGATCTTCCACGTAAGCAGACGGCCATCCAAAGAATCGATCGCCAAAGCAAAGCCGGGGACTTGGATATATAGCGCAGTGCCGATTAAGTTCACAAACACCTTCTCAGTTTGTTGATGTTGACGTGCTCAACCTTGCGGACATGTAACATGATCAAGGATGACAACAAAGTTGTGCAAAGCAATCTCCATTTGCTTACAGAGTATGGCCATGAGCTGGCCCCGCCCTTTTCCTCGGCCAAGGCGGCCTTGGCCCACCCGGCTGGGTCTCCACCGCCCGTGGTAACTGAAGGCTTCGAGGCGAGGTGGCGTGACAGTTTGCCACTGTCCATGGTTTGGAACAACTCTTTGGAGCAGAAACGCACATGGTTGGCACAAGTGTTCCTGTTTGGAACACCATGTTGAGCTTCCCCAAAGAAGAAACGAAGCCATTTCGGGTCCAGAACGAGCTTACCGAGACTGGGTCCAGAAGCCGGATCGCGCCCGCAGTTGGGCAGGACCTGGACCCAAGCTGCAAGGGGTGTGGCGTGCGGAAGATGCAGCTCAAGGTACGGGGGCCGTGCGTGCAACGAAGCGACGCAGAAACACGACGGTGGACACCTCAACCTAAAAACATCTCGCTTGAGACACCGGTGGACACCTCAACTCGTCAGAACTCCACATGGCAGATGGCCTCTTTCAGGTGTCATGGCATGGCGGACGGAGCGCCGCTGGGAACTCACCCCATCCGCACCTGCCCCACCGCCCGAGCGGTCCAGGTGCTGGCAGAGCAAGTGGTTACCTTGAGTGAGTCGGTGATGCCTCTCGCTGCAAGTGACTGACGGAACGTGTGTCACGTCACACCACACCGGGTGGTCGGAACGGAACGCCCCTGCTCGGGTTGTTTTGCCTTTTGGGTGGTCTCACGCATCCACGGATTTGAGACAGATTTGGGTTTTCACAGATGCCCAATCAGGCCCTGAAGGTCGGAGTTCTCAGAAAACCGGTTGACTCGTGGTGTGAGTCGAGTGCGTTCGCACTCGTTGAAACCCCAAAACACATTCACAATCCATGACGTCACAGGAAGCTGGCTGGAGTAACGCCCTCCTCTCAGGACAGACCAGTACAAGAGGCAGGTAGTCAAAGGAAACGATGGCAAAAGACATTCTATGAAATTCTAATCTGACAGCATGCTAGACTTTAAGGCCCTAAAGAGGACACATTCTTCGTTCAGCACCCGGAATGGCAAGTCTTTCTGGAGAATGGCAGCATGGCAAGTCTCCATCCATGGCTTTTGAGTGGAAGGACTTGGCGCTCATGGTGCTTGGCTGCCTGTCGCCCTGCTCTCACTTGGAGCTTTCCATAGGCCGCTCGATCCGCCGGGATGGCCCGGAATCGCCGTCGTTCGACGCGTCCGGAGGCACCTGCTGCGCTTCGCTGCAGTCGTTGGTGACTTCCAAGGTGCTCTTGGGTCAAGCGAAATTCTGGCAAGCGACGTTCTCCCAAGTCAACGAAACTCGCAAAACGCCTCGCAGCCTGATGATTTTTACTATTATACATGCATTATATTATGAACATGTTCTATTTGTTTTTTCGTGGCTGTTTGTGTCCCAATTCACGTGGACCTTTTTGGGCCGTTCGCCCTTGGTGTAGAAGCCGAAGCAGTCAGTTAGAAGAAGCAGCTGATGCTTTGCTGCGAACATCGCGTCCTGAAACCTGCTGAGGCCAAGAGCAGAGAGGCCAGGGAAGAACAGATGAAGGAGGCGCAGATGCGAACGAAGACCCGGATGCGCGCCGGATGCGCCGGTGTTGAGTGGATTTTGTCCCCTGACCACAGGGTTACTGTGTTTACTTCTGATGCGGGTTCTTACTCGTGTTTTTGCTGTGTTTCCTCGCAAGGCCTCGCCTGGTCTCTTGTAGGCCTGGCCTGGCCGCCCTCCATCCAACAAAGATGGAAGTGGAACATGGGCCCAGAAGGAAGACGGCTTTTCCTCTACTAACAGGCTGTTTTTCCACTTCTAGGATTGTTAGAGAGAGGGGTGCTTATTGACCCCAACTAAACCAGTGGATTTCAAGCTGCCTGGAATAGGTTCTATGATATCTTTGATGGCACTCGCCGAACGCTGGGCCGTTTTCCAAGGTGATAGATTTTTGTGGACAGATCTGTCGGGAACAATCGCTTTCCCTCCGACTTCACTGCCCATTCATAGGCCGTGACGGAAAGGGACCGTCGCGCTGCCAAGACCCCATCTAAGTGGAATGTTCGACTGGCCAAGCACCAAGGATCCGGTTTGGGATTGCCACCGCTTTCGAAGCCGCAGGAATGGCCTGTGGCAGCTGGGGGCAGCTTGCAACGTGGCTAGAAAGAGAGCAAGACACACACAGAGCCTGTCACAAGTCCACCACTGCGATGATGCTGTTGCTTTCGCTTGAATGGAACTCGAACTCGAGGTCCCAGGTCCCACGTCCCAGCTGTCCCTGGTCCCTGGTCCCATGGGAACACTGCTGGTGTCAGCCAGGATCGAACCAGGACCGCCAGCAGCACCCACCTCGCGGGGCTTGCGGGATGGGCTGTGCACGCGGACGCAGGAGATCCAGCAGTTGGTTGAAAAGAACGAAGTGGGAGGATTCAATCAGTGTCTATTGTGTGTCTTTTGATCCAACAGATCACACTTTGTTGGATTCCAAAGAACATGATCTTCTTCCTTTGAGCTCTGCAGCGAGCAGCGAGCTCTTTGGAGCTACGACCTTTCGGTCGGTTGGACTTGCGGTTTGAGCGTCGAACGTCGGTGTTTTGGACATTCAATCAGTGCACGATGCTTGGACGATTCGACTCTGCACGGCAGCTCGGGACATTCTCCTCCGTTCAAAGCTTCAGGAGACTTTGCCTGGTACGCAGGCAGGACATTCATGAACATCCACAAAACGCTTTGTGACTGAACAGTTCGATGCATCATCCTGAAAAGGCCTTTGCCTGAAAAAACCCGACGCTGCAAACCAACAGCACCATTGACTGCCGCGTGTTGTGGAATAGTCATTCCGCCCGACCCCTAGAGCCCCTAGGGCCCCTAGGGCCCCTAGGGCCCTGGGTTCGTCATGTGGTCCTTTAGAGCGGCCTCGGCCGTCCAGAGCACCGGGCCTTGCCCACGCACGCGCCCTGTCAAGGCTCCCTGGCGCCCCTCTCCGCCGTCCGTACCGTCGGCCATCCTACGGATGCCTGAGCTGGACGGGAGGCGGGGAAGCGAATTCAGCTGAATCGAACAAATGTGATGGTTCTATTCTTGACCTCCATTTCAGGATACTCAATCCTTGGAAGGTTCCATCCCACCAGAATGGCATGCTTAGGGAAGGTTTGAACAAACAGGTGTTCTCTTTGAAGCCACTGGAGCCCATATTTCATCCTCAAACTGATGGACACTTCACCTTGACCACCATTTTCATCATACTCAATCCTTGATCAACCACTTCACCAAAACCCCACCAGACAGGCCCAGCAGTGTTCGACCACCTTCCACCATTTTCAGCACAGCGACCCCAGGCTCCCTCCCCCTCCATGCCTCCCACGCCCCACGCCGAGGCTCCGAAGTCCCAGCCCGCGCGGCGTCTCGGCGTTCAGCCCCCGCGAGCGGCCCACGCCCTACGAGCAGCTCGTGGGGGCCGGGCTGGTGCGAAGCCCTGAGGCGCCCACCGTGGGCGCTCTCGGTGGGGAGGGAGGCGTAGGCAGAGAGAGGCTGAGACCTTTCCTTTTTGGTTTGAGGCTTAGGAGGTTTCCTGGTTTGGAAGACGAGGTTTTTGGAAGAAACCTGCGTTTCGTCGCTCTCCTTGAAAACATCGGTTTCTGGGATTGCATCTTGTAAAACGCTCGTCCTGAAAAATGCTTTTTCGGACCTTGGAGACCTTTGGATTCGCACTCTTCGGCCGCCGAACGCGCCCGCAGAACACGGCGGACGACGACGCCTCGCCGCGGCTGGCGCGGCACGACCTTCGACCCACGCAGCGTTGCTCGGACGCGGGGGGAGTCTCCTTCGCGGCGCGGAAGTGGTGCCATGAAGCCTGAAAATGCTGGAAGGGTGGGTCTTTCTCGAAAAAAGAACACGTTTTGAACATCGAATCCTAAGAGCTCTTAAATTCAAAGGACTCTCTCTTTCTCTCTTTCTTTTTCTTCAGAACCGAGTGGGATTCTGAGATTCTACCTGCAATCTGAAATGCTTTGGACCGCGTCGAATCATCACCGATCGACGGGTCGCCCTGAGTCTCGCCGAGGAGCCGATGCGCTGGAGCACATGCCGGCAGGGCTGGAGACCCCCCACGCGCCACGCCGCCCGGCGGAGCGCGTCCTGCCACATGAGAGGCGCGCCGTCCGCGTGGGCGCGCCATACGCGCCGTCCACGCGCAGTCCGCGCGGGGTGTGAAGGTCACACGGTACGGGATGTCTCTGGTTTGGTGTCATTTTGGTTTGGTGTTCGGTTTTGATGTCTGCTATTTAGTCTTCTGTTAGAGTTCATTCTGTTTTTTGTGGCAGGAGGAAAGAGACGGATCTTTCTCCGGATGCCCGTGGACCACAGAGAAACTTGATGTCAGGGACGGCAGGCAAAGCTACAGTTGCCGAGACGATGCCTACTGCAAGTGTAGCAGAGAGTCAGCAAGGCCAGCAAATGCCAGCGAAACATGCATCAGC